TGTACCTCTGGTGCAAATTACTGACCTCTGTCATCATTTTAGGTGGGGGAACTTGCACAATCGGTGGCTGACTAAATACTTTTTTGCCCCACTGTATATATCATTTTTGGGCCTTTTTGTGGCTTTATTTTTGACAGGGACAGTGAAGCTTGACAGGAAAGTGGAGGAAAGAAAGAGGGGAAGACAAGTGGCAAAGGACTTGAACCCAGGCCGGCTGCTCTCAGCTGTGTGGTATATGGTCGTCTGCTCATTCCAGTGAGCTAACCCGACGTCCAGCTTGATGTTATCTTATCTGTAGCATGGACAAATTGACCTTCGTGAGTGAATTAGGTTGCTGATTTATCTGGGGCAGATCCTGGTTTCAGGAGAAAACAAGAGCTCTGCTAGTCTTTCATAGTCTAACATGGAGAAACTGTTAGCCACAATAAACTGAGTTTAATTAAAAACCTTGAGTTTGGGTTTAGGCACGCAGTCACCAGTGTACGTGATGTCGACTTTATGGGTTTTTTTGTTTGTTTTTTACATGATGTCAATTCTGAATATAACAATGACTCACAGTAAGCTAATAGCACACACAAGCTCCTGTGGCATGTTGAGATGACAGTAGCACACAAACCTGTAATTTTTTTATTCATATTTTACATTTTGTAAACCCATATTTAATACAAGTTGTTAATTTTTGGGTTGTTAACATAGAGAGTGAAGTACTGTTGGAAAATACTACAACTGGCTGTTGTTGGACTCACTGTGGCTGATTGGAAAATTTCGTCATTGTGGTTTGAAGGCCACTAAATATTTATTTCTGAGAGATCTGATTAATTTTGTGTTGACCAGCTGATCAATTATTCCACCAATAGTTCCAGTTGTAGCTGGGCAGAAGTGGCAGACTCAAAGTTCGGGGCCAGAGTCAAGCGGGGTCCCATGGTTCGGGCCCAGTTTAGTACTGGTAACGGCGTCACAGCCTTTATTCCTCTCTGTTTCCTGCTCGTTATATTTAGCCGATACGGGTGCACAGCCAGCTCTCCAATGGCCCTCCACACTTTGTTGCTATGAGATGTGTTATGTAACTGTACGTCGTCCACACTCAGGAAAAACCAGTTTTCAGGTGTTTTTTTTTTTCTTTCTTTCTTAATGTGAACACATATGAGTATGTGTGTTTATGTTCCAGGATGCTCTTGGCTAAATAAGCTGATGCAGCTCTTGTCTTTTGGTCCTCGTTGTCTCAGAGTCTCTGTGGAGCCGGGCACTTCCTGTCCTTTATTTTTTAAAATGTGAGTCGTTTGCCTGATATCACCGTCTGTCAGCCCCATTCAATAATCTGCAGCCAGGAAGTGACAGCATGGAGGAAAGGACTGCCGTACAGGTCATAGAAGTGTTTCAGAGTGACAGGAAGCACACTCAAGAGTCACTTTGAGTATTTTATCTGTTGGGACAATTTCTGGAAGTCAAAGAGTGCTCCAGTCGTGGGTTTCATGACTACAGAGACTTCCATGATAAGATACTGCTATCGACATTTTGAGTCGGGCTGCAGTTTCCATGTTTATGTTGTTCTTAATTAGGATTTAAAACAATAAAAAAAAGTTTTTAGCAGGTTTGGTGAACTAAAGGCAACTAAGACTACTAGAACAGCTACCCTGAGGTACCCCTGAGCAAAGTACCATCTCATTGAGCTTAGGATAGATCAAGGGTAGTTAAAACAAGGCCAAATGCAGTGAATCATTTGAGGTAAGTCACTTATCAGTTAGAATCCAGATGGCCTTCTTTTAACATGTGGACTAAACTACCCTGACATCACGTTTTGGATTGTGGACATTTGTGGAAAGTTGATTCTGTTTATCTGGAAATAACATTTTTACTGGAAGAAACATTTAGTCACTTGTCCAGGTGACTTCAGCCTAGTTTGGCGTTTGGCCATGGCCATCTTCTTAGAGCCAAAAATGATAATAGAGGGTTGGATTTGATGGATGCTGCTAATCTATTTGGTAACATCCAAAAAGTTGATTTTGTTCATCTGGACGAAGCGTTTTCAGTGGGAGAAATGTTTCATCATCCAAGTGACTTCTTCAGTCTCAGCTGATTGCAGGTTTCCACAACCTTATAAAGAGTACACTTGCACAATGACTATGATAGCCTGCTGATCAGTGGTTGCTGATCAGTGGTTGTTGATCAGTGCGGATTGGCTTTAGTATTTTCAGGGCTGTCACTGCTCAGAGCGAGTCGGCTCTTTGACTAATGTACCACCTTTTAGCTTCTTGTGACACTTTTTATTGGGGTTAGACTTCAACTTGAGGAGGATGACTCCTGTCAATCTTTAATCTGGATTACAAAATGTTCATAAAAGATCAGCACTTCAGAAAGCCCAGACGTCGGCTGAAATTGCAAAGAAGCAGCGTCCGAGCAGGTCATGCAAGGGACAGATATGCTCTTTGAGACCAACTGTAATGTTTCTGAATTTTAAAAATAGGATAACAGAGTATTCCTGATATTCCTGAACATTTTTGGATGGTTGAATTTGCTAATTTAAGATATTTTTACTGAGGAAGAGGATTTACTTCTTGAACAATAAAGTTCACTGCCTGAGCGTGCTGTACTACAGCAGCAGTCTATTAGGGGTGTGTCTCTAATTTATGTCACAGTGTAGAGGCAGAGCACAGGATCAGATAAAAGTACTGTATGTGAACCAATACAAATACTAGTTTTTATTCTCTAAACTGAATAGTTTGTGTGTGTGTGTATCACCACCTTTGTGAGGACAAGTTTCAGTTTAATTGTCTCTAGTCAGGACCTTTCTGCAGACTGAAGACCACTTCAAGGGATTGTCTCACACCTTGTTTTAAGGTTTGATTTGAGATTAAGAAGTGCAAAGTTTAGGCGTGCGTGCGGGGTTACCAACTTTGTGAGGACCTGGTTCAGTTTTAATCCACTGCAGTAAGGACTATTTCAAAAGACTGTTTCAGACTGTTTAAATGTTTGATTTGGTTTAAGAAATGTAAACTGCAGAAATACAAACCTCTGTGTGTGTGTGTGTGTGTGTGTGTGTGTGTGGTGTGTGTGTGTGTGTGTTGTGTGTGTGTGTGTGTGTGTGTGTGTGTGTGTGTGTGTGTGTGTGTGTGTGTGTGTGTGTGTGTGTGTGTGTGTGTCAGGGAAGGTCACGTTACTTTCTAAAAGGACTCACCTGCTGACACGCCCTTTTCAGACCAATGTTTCTTGTGGGTGCGGCTGCAGCCGGTGAACTGCTTCAAAGAATGCTGGGTAACTTTCATGTGTGACTTTTTAAATAAACAAAACTTAGCACAAGAAGAAAGTTTAGATCACATCCGGATTGGTTTGATCAGTTAGTGCGAGATAGCTTTGGTGTTTGACTTAGGCAGCAGAAAGTGGAAAGATGGCTGTGCACGAATGATTGTTTGGTTTCCTTTTAACCACTGAATAATAGAAAAATCAGCGAAGGTCTTTCACCTGATTAGCTGATTTAACCTCGGCTACTTCAGGCTCAAAGTTTTGTACATCTTTGAGCCCTCATACCTGTGTTACCCACATTAAATTAAATATTGCCAATACCAAATAAATATTGCACACAGTCCAAAGACAGAACTGTTTTTTGTTTAGCTTTTTCAATGAGCATCAGTGTCATTAATTATGTTGTGGTCTCAATTGCAAAATTGCACCAATTTAAGTCTCTGATGTACAGGAAGAGGTCATATCACCATCAGGTGTAGGTGACTGATTTGACTACGTTATAGTATATTTTCTGAGACCCTCTGTGGGGGGGACAAAAGGATTGATTGCCCAAAGAGACTAAAAATCAGTTCAATAACCATTTAAAAACTCCTTTAGTGATACTATTACACAGAAGCAATGCACGACAGGTTTTCAAAGTTGCCAGAAGTGGGTCATTTAGATATCCCTGGGAAGGACACTGAAAATCAGAGAGTGTATGTGTGTGTGAATGGGAGACAAAAGCACTAAGACATAGATCAACAGTGAATGAGTGTGAAAGTGCTTTGAGCATCTAATTGTTTTTAGACTAACAATGATCTAATCCTTGTTATGTGAAACAGACTATCCTGCATCACATTAATCTATGAGCTAAGTTAAGACTGGTCTAACCCCACAGACCAGTCTAAACTATCTCTGTAAAACTGCTCCCAGGCTTTGTTGCTCTTACTAATCAGCAGCCTTAAAAATACATAAGAAGATGTGAGTGAGCTGATAATCTTGCATCACGTCCTCAGAAGCGATGTCGTGCTGCAGTTTTATGGAGGAGGAAATGTGATGCTCGTTAGCAGAAAACCCTCATGGCTGCCCGTAAAGACACCCCGACGAAGGCCGTTATCAGCTGTGCAAAGTTCAGGGGCGCTGTGAGAGGGCGAAACGCGGCATCATTTTCTGCACAGTTAGAGAGCAGCCCGAGCCCATCAGCTGGTGTTAATCATCTCCCAGAGAGGAAAATGGCAACAGGACGAGCTGAAAAAGTTAGTAATCAGGAGCCCTTACTTCATGGCATGGAGAAAACGGCGTGTAGGAATAACCATAATCTAATGTTCGCTTGAATCGCTTTCACAATTCTGCCAGCCTAAAAATATACACATATTGTCTATTATGGTGGCTTATGCTGATTAACCTTTGTCCATGTCCATATAAGCCGGTGGGTCAGACTTTTACTGGCCCACATAAAACTCAGTTTAATTAATAAAAGTACTGCTACCTATAAGAAAGTATTTATTATGGAGACTTGAGTTTCTGAGTTTATATTAAAAACCTAACTCTATTGGAGTAAATGCTGAGCCATACTGTTTAGCAGTCTCTAGGTGATCGGGGCTTTTATGTTAAAGACTCTCACAGCCCTGCTTATTTCATAGTACGGAGCTCTGCTGCTGATGTCTAAAAGCTGTTTGGATTGTTTTTTTATCACGACTCTTTAAACGGTGCAACTGGATAATTAGCAGTAGTTTCCCTTCATTGCTGGTCGATGGGGCAGCAGTCTAAACAGACCTCCCTCTCCTCAGCCTCCACCTCCAGCTCTTCTGTGGTGTAGGTGTTCCCAAACCAGCTGAGAGACATAATCTCTCCAGCATGTCCAGCATCTCCTCCCAGTTGGGGATGGATGAAACGCCTCACAGAGGACACGTCCAGGAGTCGTCCTGTTCAGAGCTGATGCAGATTCATGACTGTACGCTTCCTGTAACTACCCACAGCTCATGGGCGAGGGTGGGGACGTAGATGGGCTGCTAAATCAACAGTTTCACCTTGACTCTCAGCTTTCTCTTTACCACAGTATACAAGGTCAAATGAAGCTAAACAATGGCTGTTCAACTTTATGTGCACACTGCCATAATATTTGCTTCATATGTGGTTCACTGTGTTTTGAAGAATACCTCACAGGGAATGTTATTGGCTCTTCTGTAGGAAAGGTTTTCATTTTGGCTGTTTGTATCCTCAGATTTCCAGCATCTTCCCTGGAAGTTTCAAATAAAGAATCTATCATGGTGTAGTTGTATCTCCTCCCCTCTGTTGTTGTCAGTCTGCCCTCGGGGGGTTCTCTGAATTCATCGCAGGCTCTGCGCTCACCACGTGACCTGGCCGAGCGGTCCTGAAAGCGAGCTCTCAGTGAGCAACGACGCAGATCCAACAATCAGCTGTTTGTCGGCTCGGCGCAGAGTGGGTCGGCACACATACGACCGCAGGTCGATTCGAACAGTGCTTCCTCTGCTGCCGTGAAGAGCGGCGTCCTCAGAGCCACAGCTGCTGCAGCGCGAGCTCAGCCACTCATTTCTGACCACTCCACCGAATAAAAGACCGACTTTAACGCTACTGTAAGGTGGCTTACGACACACTATGTGCAGATGTTTCAGAGCATGGTTTTTAGATTGATCTTTAAATGTATTCATTGTTCTCTTTATTTGTGAGGGAGGGACTGAGAAAGCATTTTTGATTTTACACTTCAAATCATGTAACGCTAAACCCGACTTCTCCAAAACTGAGATTAAAAATCGAGAAACCAGCCCCAAATAGCCAGCGTACAGCCTCCAGTGCAGCATAAACCTAAAGCATCTCCTTCATGTGTGGGTGTGTGAGCTTGGTTAGCGAGCTTTATTTACCTGCCGGGACACTACTGCACGGCTCGGGTGGAGCTCCTGCTACACCTGTGTGACCAATGAATCATTGCTGGGGTGAGGAGAGAGATCTTTCACACAGTAAATGAATTTTCTTAATTTCTAGGAGTCGAGGCCTTTCGTTGCCAGCCAAAAGATATACTCTCTCGAGGGTGTCATGGCAGGGGCTTTGGTCTGGTTGAAGAGGCCACTTTGGGGTGGCACCTTAGGGAGGCATCCCGGTCAGATGCTTAAACCACTTCTTCGGTTGGGTGCTTTCTGAGCCCCTCCTGAGTGAATGGGCTCCTCACTCAATGTTTTATAACATTTTATCCACAGCAAAATGTCTTCTTACCAAAGAAACAACAGAAGTGGTCACAGATGATCACAAGTAAACCTTCCCATCAGTTGGGTTGGGCGATTGGACCAACTACATCAGTGGGTTTTCTTTAAACTTTATTTTGCTAATGACTTTGCCTCGTGAGAGTTAAAAAAAAACAGACACATCCAGGAATGCAGAGCAGAGATCGCCAGCTGTGCTCTAAAGGTGCCCTCACACCCAGTTTGGCCCCTGGCATTGTCGAGTGTTCAGCCTTTGGGGTCTGTAACACAGCGCAGCTCTGATTTGTTGCTAATGTGGCTGCATAAAGCTGAAACGAACCAGAAGCACAAATACCACAAAGGCGCACGTCTCAATAGGGCAAAGAAAACAGTCTGTGGACTAAAAATACCTCCTGCTATGATGTGACTCAGGTCTCACAACGAGGCTCGGCTGACAGACCTAATCAAACGCTTTTTGCATCACAGGGGAAACCAAAAAAATCTACTTCAGCTCCACTCAACCACGCTCGTCTGCTTCAAAGCAGCTGCACACTGGAAAGAGAAGTTTTCACAACCTTTATTTACGCCCCAATGATTCAGACACCCCTACTGCCACCAGTATAGTCCAACATCCTCTTTGGTGCCCACATTGAAACCGGTGGCATGGTGGTAACTCCACCCTTTACTTTGTCCTGCATCAGGATGTTTTTCCAGTTATTTAACCACGAAGAGCTGGTCTGTTGTTTGACATCATATCGCGTTCTCCCGCTTTTATTCATTATTCAGATGAGCAAACAACTGGCTGCTCTTTTACCATCGGCATGTTTGAATATGCAAACTCTGAAAGATGTTCAGCTTGTAAGCAAATACTGAACCACTTTGTTGTGGAAGTTGAAAGGCCGAGGAGCAGGTGTGTTAGCCTCCTCACTGGAGACTGGAATAAAGGGAAACGACGCTTCTTTGATCAAATGAGGTGATTCGGACGTATTTAATAATGTGGGTATAAAGTTTCCGACCTTGGAAACAGTAACCTCAAACTACTAAGTCACTGCACTTCTTCGAAATAGCCGTGGGACGTTTATGTTTGTTATGCTAAAATAATGGTCAGGACGTCATGGTGGTAAAATCCATTTTTCTGAGCGTGTGTTTAAACATTAAAGAGCACCTTTTGTTTTTGGTAAATATAGCATCCATAAATGATAAGTATTTTCCATAACAGGCATTAATGTAATGTAGTGGTAATCATTCATATGCTGATGGTGGCTTCTGTTAGTCATGGAGCTGCTAATGGGCTCGTCTGCTGATGTTTAAGGATGTTTTGCTTTTTAATTCATGTTTCTATAATAAATTTAAAAAAAATATCTCAGTGTGAACCAAACTGTAGATGTAACAGTGTTTCTATATTTCTGATTATTTTTGTGCTGGCTCTCTTTTCTTCCTTCACCTCTCAGATATATGATCTTGTCTTTGGTGGTATTAATATCAGCTTCACTGGGACTGAGGCTTGTGCTTGTGACAGCATATTTTTTGTCTGAATAAATTCCTCATCGTGTGATTGAAATTTTTTGCTAGCTTTCCGGGTTTCCTTTAACTTCTAGGTGAAAATAATTGTTGCGACTGTGTGCGGGAATTCCTGGGTTAAAGCAGTGTTTGTGTGTAATAATGATCATTCAGTTCAAGATGTTTGCCTGGATTTACGGAAAAACAGACTGTATATAATAGATGGACATTGCCACTGTGCTTGCACACTCACAGACGGTATAAGACATGGAGGAAAAGGCTTCAGGTGTGAGAAACTTGTTTTGTTTGATCTGTGAATCGTGGTCATACTGTGGTTTTGTTTTTTTTTTAAAACAGGATTATCCGGCGTGTACTCACTGGCTGACTTGTGATTGACAGAACATTAGCCGGTGAGCGTGCCGCGCTCTCTATCCTCCTTTCTGACTGGAATAAGGACCGTCATTTGCAAAATGAGCTTTACATTTTATTAATCAGGGGAGTCACACATGAGCTGACACATTAATAGAGCAGAGGGCCGTGTTCTGATACACTGCTGCAGGCAGTGGAGCTTCCCCGGCTCGTCCTTTCACGCTTTGCTTCTCAGACCTGGGAAATACTTGAATTGCATATATGCAACTTATGTGAACAATTATGCACCACACTAATGACGCAACAAGTTCACTGTGTGAAACATGATAGAATACATTTGAACAATATGAATGAAAACTAAACATTAATTTATTGTTATTCTGTTTTTAAGCATATTTAATAACTTTGGTTTATATTTTATTACCGTGTTTATTATAAAATGTTATAAAAAGTAGGAAAGGTTATTTTTACTCTGATTTCAGGCGTATCTGTCATGATGCGACCTCGGTGTGTCCCATTTATTTTTAGGATGCTCATCGTGCAGCAGCGTTGAAGTGGCCGGTTTCTAATATTTCAGTTTCATTATTTGCACTTAGGTGAAAACTCGTCCAGCGAGTTGCTTTAAATACACTTCCCTGTATTTCCCTGTTTTCCTTTCTTTCTTCTTCTTATTCAAAGTTTTCACTCTAAGCAGCTTTTTATTATGATGGTCTGATGTGAACAATCAGCAGTCCTTCACCTCTCAGCTGCATCTTTAATGTTTCGTCTGAATGACTCTGTTAATGGAAATCCTGCTCCAGAGGATGCTGACAGCTGGAGACGGGTTAGCTAAGGAGCTACACTTCCATGCAGGATTTTAATATTTAGGGCAGCAGCTGGAAATAGCTTCAGCCCTTTTAGCCCCAAAAACATTAATGTGATGGTGAGCGCTGCAGTCGAGGCTCAGCTCTGCTGCTGGCCGGCTGTCGCTGGTACTTTGTGGTTTTCTTAATTAGCTGCTTCAGACGGGAGGGATCAGTCGTCCCCGCAGCTTTGTGAGCTCCGTGGTGAAAGCAACAATTATCGAGTGCGACGTTCAGAGTCTAAAATTAGCTGCAGAGTCAGTTTAATGTTAATGTAGTCAGCAGTAAGGCTCGTTTCTCCAAGGGCTTACCGTTGGAAATAAAGTTGATCAACAGCAGGTTTGATCACCTTTTCAGCTGTGATGGGTAAACGTTGTGCCTTTGTTTACGTTGGAAAAACTACACATCCCAGCTGCATGCTGGGATGACAAATAGATCATTGTGATTTTTTTATTTTTTTTTTAAATGATTTGTAATCTTTTTCGTGACAAAAATTTGCAGATTTCAGCAAAGATTTTATACATTTAAAAGTAGCTAGGTGTGGACAAAAACATTTTAGTTAGTTGTAGTTTTTCAGTTTTTATTTCAGCTATCTGAAATGATATTTGCCAGTGACAAATATAATGTAATATAGTGTGAAATAACAATTAAAAAGACAGAAACAAGACTGAACTAAAAAACCAAAACTCCAGACAAAATTAAAACTGCAGTCCAATCAGTTTCCACAGACTTGTTGGACTGTTGTTGGCTGTCGCTCTAAGAAGCTTCACATCACTTCCTGGGTGGCATTGATGAGCACCCGCGAATTAAATCATGTTGCTATATGTTGATCTGATTAAATCTGGAACTTGTTAGAGTCCTGGGATTGGAGAAAACTCTGGGGGAAGTGCAGACTGACTGTCCTGAGGCAGGTTTTAGTGGCAGTATTGGTATGCTTGACACGTTTGTGTCATTTTGCAGGGAAAAAAACTGAAGTGAGATAACTTTATTGGATAAAAACATGTATGGATTTGCTTTTGCAATACTCAGCATATCGCAGAATGTTTAAATTGCATTGATGTTGTATTGTGAATGAAGTATTGTGCTAATATTGTATCGCGGGGTGTCTGGCGAGTCCCACCTCTGTAAAGTACAGCAGCTGTGAATGGCACAAAGCATGCCTGACATGCCTCTTTGGTAAAAATGGCTGACTTGTTGGGCAGAGCTTCTTTGTTGCAATTTTGTTGGCGGTGCTATGGAGCGTTTTCAGGTACAGGAACCATAAAATATATAAATTGTTACCACTTCTTAAAAATATGAAACTTTAATAACAGCTTCCAGCTTCACCAGATTAATGCTTGAGCTTTAGAGTGCTAGTTATTGTTATTATTATTATTATTTTTGTTATTAATACTATAGAAAACTTCCCAGGGTGCAGGGAGACAAACACAGCTCAGTCCCACTAAGTGGAACGATCACTCTTTGATCTTTCAGCAGTTTTTATTGCAGTAGCTCAGCTGAGTTAAAGGTGATTACATCACATCCTGTGAGCTGCAGGAGATGTTTGCTGTGTCTCTGATGGTCTGTGCAGGCTGCGCTGACCCGCTGTAGCAGGTTTGATCTTGTCTTTGTGTGACCCGCCGTGTGTGCGATTGCTCTGGAGGAATGCAGACAGTGTTAGACTCATAATGGAAAATTATCATATCGATTAGAGGCCGAGGTTCAAAGCCAAAGTGCCCTGCAGCAGCGCAGCAGCAGTATACAGGAATGAATGAGTGAAGGCTCCCTGTGGGAGTTTTGAATGCCTTCATTAACCTGCTGTGAGACGCTGTGGCAGACTGAACCTCTGCTGTATAGTCCTGAGGTTCCTGTACACTTTGTGCTGCTGTCAGTCACTTGGTGTTTGAGGCTTCTACACTGTAGATGTGTGAATGGTGACTGGCAGCTAGTGCTGGACTGGAACAATATATATATAAATACATAACTATATATATCTATATATCACTATAAAGTTTTTTTTAAAGCTTTTATAGACCAAATAATTTCAGAAAGTTACAGTTTATATTACAGTGTGCTTATTAAATAGGTTACATTGTTTTAGCCTGTTGTCGAGTGTAGTTATGCGTTTCCATTTATATAACATCAGCAGACATTTATCTGAACTTTAACAAGTGCTTTATTTGTAATACTTTGGGTATATTTTATTATTTTTAAGTACTTCATCAATATAAGATTATCTTATTTTTAATAAAGTTGTTGTGTTTCAGATATTAAAGGTTAAAATAAAATAATATAATAAAATACAATTGTAGCATCTGGACACTTTAGATCAGTCTGAGAAATGAACTTTATTTTTGATTCTTAGTTTAAATAATATATTTGACCTTTTTAGAACTGAACGTCCGAATCAGTTACCGGTAGTTCAAAGCTGTGCCATCAGGAAGTCGGTTTGGATGACCTCATAGTTTTGTCCTTTTTTTTTTTTTTTAATGAACTTCCTGGTCATCAGTCATCCATTTGTAAGTGCAGCTTCCTTCTCAGCTGCAGGATTAAATGTCCTGATCGAGGAGTTTTTGGACGCAGAGTCGTGGGTGAGGTCATATCTGTAGATCACTACCTTCGCCCTCATTGGCCAGCAGAAGGAGTCGGCGAGCGTCCGTCTGTCCATTTCTCCGGGCCATCGGCTCCAGCTGTTTGCTCAGCAGCACTTCAGGCAAACGTCTTTACTTGGTTTATACTTTTACAGTTTGACTAATTAATTCGACCTGGGAAACGAAAGTGTGGTTAATTAAAACATCTTTGCCTTTGGCTTTGAAACCAAGCTGCCAGTTTGGCTTTTATTTTAAAAGTTTAATTTAAACTTGGAGCAGTTTACACAAGGACAGCACACCTGAAACTGCCTTCCCTCTAAAAGTAGTTGAAGTTAACACCCAAACCCTTAATCTGCTGGCTCTGCTGTGCCTCGGGGCTCATGTTTGGACTCGTGCATGTGTTACTTTAAAGGTGTCTCTTCACTCACAAAGCGCTTCAACAGGCTTTGATGAGCATGCTGAATGAGCCGTGCCTTATATCAAATACAGCACAGCGATTACTCACTGCAGTCATTAACTTCCACTTCATTTTGATGCCAGATGCTACGACCGACTACCCCCCGCCCGCCTCTCTCTCGGGATAGTTTCATAATGGCTAACGGCCGTGCTCGAACTTCTCTCCACTGCAAACAAGCCAGAGAACCCACATTTCAGTTTGCCAGTACGTGATGTCACCTCATTGAAAGTGAACAAGAGGCCTGAAACGCATACCCATGAATCCTTCCTCCGGCTGCTGCAAACAGAGGAATTAGCATTAAGTGAAGTGCACACTGTGACCTAGAGTCCCAGCTGATAACTACCCTTTTTTTCTCTCCAGTGACAACAATAATAATACTGCACACGTACAAAGTCACAGTTTGACCCTGTGACCTCGTATTTGAGCGTGCAGCTTGGGAGCGTGCATGCGGTGTGATCGGGTTTGCTTCTGCTTATGTAAATGTCCATCACAGTGAACACCTGAGGGGATCACACCTGTTGGTCTCCAATTACAGCAGCGTCCAGGCTGCTCTGATAAAAGGGGCTCATTGTACTGGGATTGTGATGGTTTAATATCCCTAATTAGTTTTGATGGGCTCTTAGTGCAGCACTCAGACAGTGCGGGGTAATTATTTTAAGTTCCCAGAGAAAAGCCTGCTGCTGTTTGGCATGAAGCCACCGTGTGTGCAGGGAGCTGCTGGGTGACTGTCGCAGCTGTGTGGATGGAAACGAGCTGGCTCAGAGTCTCGCTTCTTATTGGCTGCTCACACCGCCCGTCTCCTCTTTTTTTCTTAGCGAGGTCACGATGCTCCTCGATGGTTTTTCTTAGGCTTTGGGATGATGCTTAGTCATCTTCCAGTGAAACACAAGCTTTCACTTTAGAGCTTTCAAAGTTGTCTCCGTGTTCCCACGGCAGGATGTTCACTGATTTAGGAAGCAGATTTGTCATGTCCTTTTAAGAGTTTCTAACTTTGTGAGACACTAACATTACTATTCTTATTATGATTCTTTGGCAGTTTTTATAATCTGATTTATTATAAAAACTTGCACAGAAATGTCACTTCAAAGGGACAAACAGACTTTTAAGATCAGTGTTATGTGTTTTTTTTCTTTGCTCTACTACACAAAGGTCAGTCATTGTCTTCAGCCAACCACTTTTACCACTAATGTGGTGTGTCGTTTAGAGACAGTGTCACGGATTTAAAAGCTGAAGATGTTAGCATTTCATTGCGAGGACAAGGATGGGACAGAATTGGAAATGAGTCCATCAGGTACAGCTGAGGCTGAGATGATGTGGACATGTGGGACAAAGGTCAGAGATGATTCATGGATGTAGTGAAGGAGGACGTGCAGAGAGCTGCTGTGACAGAAGAAGCTGGTATGCTGTCTGTAACCACACCATCGCCGGTACTTCCTTTAATGTGACAAATGCATCAATTCTGCATCAGGTTAAAACCTCAGTGTGATAGAAAGTGTTTTTTGAGCTGGACGTCCGTGCTGTGTGCGTGTAAACACGCTCTGGCCTGCGAGGCTGACCGTCAGGTTCTCACACATGCTGGTAGTTTATGGTCTGCTCTGCCTCCGGCTGCTCGTATTCACGGAAACAACGGAGAGGACAGGAATGATGAACTGCAGCTACTCCGGCTCCATCAGCTTGCATTTGTTTACATCACTACATATTACTGTACTCATAGGGGTTTCCACGACATACTATACTGTATGCTGACACACATATGTGGTGATGCTAGCGTGGTAGTGCGATGAGCGCTGTAAGGAAGAAATGGAAATCATCACATCAGTCTGTGGGGAAAAGAATATTTTGTGAAACTTTTCTTTTCGAACTTTTGTTTCTTACAACGAGGATTAACAAGTCCTAAACGTTACACTGCTGTTTTATAAAGTGCGTCATTTTTGTGATTTTTAGTGTTTCATGTTTGAATGACAGCTGTTGAAAATCATCATTTTTACAGCTGTCAATCCATAAAATCTGATAAAATATAAACACTGGTGTGCCTTGCTTTGTCCTCAGCGATGTTATTGTAAATTTATTGTCCTTTATTTAATTTTTGGGCCTTTGTTTTTGACTGTTTTCAGTTTCCAGAGCGGTTTTGGTTTATTTTAGGTTTGTTTTTTATTGTTTAAGTAATGCTAACGTTCAGACTTCATTACTTTGTGTGCTAGTTTTAATCTTATTAATGACTAAAGCTAAAGACAAATACTTCATTTATTGCACATTTGGAATGTCCTTTTAACCGACTTCTATATTTTATTCTAGATTTGTGAGTGCATCATGAGACTTCAGGGAGTTTCTGTCCCTGTGTCGCCGCTGTAACGCGATCAGCTGCTGCTTTGACTCACTAACACTGTAATTGGTTTTCTTGCTGTCAGAAAAGCTCCAGAAAGCCCAGAGTCAGTGCTGTCTGTGTTTCAGTCTGTAGTATAATGAATATTTCTAATCTTGATGTCCATTTCATTGATAAACTAAAGAGAGACAAAATGGTTTAATAACGTGGCTGTTACAAATGCAGGAACAAAGTTTTTCTGCTCTAAAATATCTTTGGAAGTCAGGGAAGTAGGTGGCCCCACCCACCTCGTGTTTAAGCCTTCTGTTTGTGAGGGGCAGCCAATCAAAAGAAGGCTGGGCTGAAGGGGGAGGGGCTAAAACTGTTTCAGAGAGAGGATCGTGGCACAGTGTCCGATAAATAAAGATTATTTTGAAATGCAAGTCATCAGGGTGCAGTGAGATAAACAGACTTTAAAACAGGAGGCACACCTCCTACATGTCACTCATGAGTACAGCATCCTTTCAGTGTTGTGTGATTGGCTGTTTGGGATTTTTATGGTTTGCTGAGTGAAACGAGTACCAAGGAGCTGAGGTGCAATCAAGGCAACACACTAGGAGCCAACTGAGCTTTAAACAGAAAGAAATGTTTGCATGTTGGAGCTGAAAGAGCGCCGCTGACTGTCGTGTGTCATGTTTTCCAGAGCCTTCAGAGCGGCGAGATGGAGGATGGGAAGCCGGTGTGGGCGCCACACCCAACAGATGGGTTCCAGCTGGGAACCATAGTAGACATCGGAGCTGACAGCCTCACCATCGAGCCCCTCAAACAGAGGGGAAAGGTGAGCAAACTTTGAGGGTTACCTGCTTTACAGGAGCAGTTATTACTGCACTGCAGACTTATTTACTCGCCTGCCTTCCTACCCCGAGACCGTCCCCAATTTCCCAACTGCGTCCTGATGTCTGTGTGCAGGACTCGGGTTGGAAGGATGACATTTATTTTACCTCCAAGCGTCAGCGTTGTATTAATAACACAAAGCAAAGACTTAAACGGCTAGCTGTAGCTTCATCACCTCTACGTCAGCCTTTTTATGCCTTCCTCTTTTATTTTGAAGAAGAATGAGTGAGATGAAAATGGTTTTGAATCGATCGGCCCGCTCTGGCCCTTCTTTGATGGGTTTATCTGATGTGCTCTCACCTGCTGTGTGTTAATGATTTAATGTCCCACTTAGCTCGCGGGGCTTCAGGCCACCTTTCTGGAAGCAATAAAGCATTGTTCACTCTGTGGTCCACCTCCGGTGCTCAAGTGCTGATTAATCAGAAGCCAAGTGGCTCTGTGCAGCAAGAGAAACGCGCTTTCTTTGATATCGCCTCCGTTGATTCGCTTTTCTGCTGCATCAGGTGCTGAATCGCCTTCAGCAAAGCTTTTAATGTCACTGAGAGTCTGTTGCTGTGGTAACCCCTAAAGCTCTGTGTCCGTCTCACTAATCTTCCCCCTCGGAGAGGCCTTGGCAGTGACAGCGTTCCTCTTTAAAGAGGCTCCTCACTGATTTACCGTCAGCCTGTAAAACACAGAACCGCATAGGTGTGTTTCCACACCTGCCTGAGTCATGAGTGATATTTAAACAGGAAAAGTGATTTTAATCCTGCGTTCTTTTAAGAGTGGCTCTCGTTCCTGGATGTTTTCTCTGAATAAAAGATGTTGCACAAGGTTGGCCTCACTAGATTTCTGGCCGTTTACTGGAATGAGTTGCAGCAGTTTTTACAGCAGTCATTCGACACTCACACAGCCAGTTTTATGGTTTTTATCTCCCTCCTCACCATCTCTATCCAGAAATATTTACTCCGCCTTTTACTGTGCCCCTGATCTTTGCACATTTGCTCTGCAAACGACTGCATAAACGGGGCCTCTCTGCATTTACAGAGAGATTCCAGGTAAATGTATTTTAAATGTCACGCCAGTTTGAAATGATCTCCGTTATGGATGGAAAATTACAACTGGGGAATTTCAAGTGTTCAGTGATTCACAACAATTCATGGATTCAATAAAACACACGAGGAGACACTCCACCTTAAAAGTACCTGGTACCTGCCTCAGTAGTATTTTTTACTGCACACATTCTTCCACCTTTAGTGGAACAGTAAAAGTAAGCTAACGCTGACAGCTAACATAAACATTTTATTTTGTTGGGACTGACCTTTATTTACCTCACCTATGGTCACACCTGGCCTTCTACTAATATATATTTATTATAATTAATTCCACTTTAGCATTTGTATCCTTCTTGCTCCTTCTTGCTACATTTCACTGTTTCACAGAAACCCTTCACTCCTTTTCAAGGCTTTTATTTTTAATCATTTGCACAAACTTGAGTGTAAAAATAGATGTTTTTCATTTGAAGAACCAAAAAGTTCCATGAATCTTACATACGTGTCTTATTATTTTTATCAAAGGAGCGACTGACAGAGGTGCAGGTAGAGAAGTGAGATGTGAGGAACAAGTAAAGGCTGATGAAGATGCTTCTAGACAGATGGCTTTATTATGTATTTGTGTACTTGGAGCGTTACACCTCTGCACACACAGTGTGTTGGTTTGCATTAATGAAGTTTGTCCCACTTGTATCAGTCTCTCACTCGTGTGCTGAAGTCAAAGAAATACGATGAAATATGAGACGTTACGAGCAGAACCAGCCTTTGTGGTGTTGCTGTTGCTCGCTGTGGTCTCATTTCAGGGTGTGAATATCGTGACGTGTCACTGATATGTTAACAACTGAGTTTATATTAAGTGTCATCAGTGATGTCGCCCCTTTTGAGCTGCTAGCTTCTGGTTTTCTGGTCACACATCCTCTTTAACAAAATATCTTCATGATATTCATCGTGACAAAAATATATTTCGTGACGATGGCGTCAGATAAGTCGCCTTACTGTGTAACTGAAAGATGAGAGCATCAACACAGGAAATGATGCTTGTGTCTTTGTAGCTGACTTGACGCATTGGACCGCTAATGGAGGCTGTTTCAGTCTTCTGTCTGTAATCTGAGAAAGCTTTAACTCAGGATCCGCCCACTTTGAGCGTTCAGCAGTTATCTCAGTCGTCGTTGCTTAAAGTGACTGAATGTCATCGGCTTTCTGTGGTCAGCACAGTGCTACTAGTTGCTTCCTGTATGGATGACCCTTAAATCATCGCCTGCGACAACCCTGTGACTGATGATGCTAACCCCGGCCCTCTGCTATTAGACTGTGTTGTTTCTGTTTTTAAAAATAGTTTTCCTGAGTCTTTGCAGTTCTGGACAAAATCAGTAATTATACTGACTGCTGCTCATCAGAAAAGTCCTTTTTGCTTTTCTTCAAAGCGGCGTGTGGGCATGCACCGCGAGCCCGTTGAATAAATCGGCTAAAATGAACTCGCAGTGCAAACTTTGATGGCGTCGATCAGTATAAGAGTGCAAGCTGTCTGCCGTCTCAGGTGGATTTGTTAAAAACCTGAGGATTTTGCACCTTGGAGCCATGTGAGTAAAATAGTAGGGTCCCTGAGTTTTGCCTCAAAGGAGCTGATAAACCAGTTCTGACCCCAACTTAAACACCATAAATCAGTTTTATCGGTCGAGGCAGTACAAAGCCTGCTTCAAAGAGTTTCCTGGTAGGAAGGGTCCCTCTCTGGGTTTACCACAGAAAACAGTATTTTAACAGTAATGCTCTGATCTGCTGTCAGAGCGAGTTTCTGGGCTTGAATCTGAACAATGTCCCGTCTGTCCCGCTGCAGCCAGTTTGTGCCAGTGTCTGACGATGTGCTCACTCGCTGGCCGGCCTCCCGGGATGGACGTCAGGGGAAAGACGGAGAGCATGAGACCCTGTCATACTATCGCTCACAAAGAGCCGGCCTTGTCTGTGTTTTTGTTTCCCAGAGAGTGTCTGATCTGCCTCGGAGCTGCAGATGGACAAAACTGTTTGAATGGCATTACTGAAGGAGATGAAGTTATTTTTGCAGCAGATACTTAAAAAGGCAATTTTGGAGTTACTTATTTTGTAACTTATTTTGTTCTCGCCAAGAATGAAATAAGATGATGAAGTTTGATGATGTGGCTTTAGTGCCAGGAAGTTATTAGCTTTGATTAGACTGGAAAAGGGAAGAGGACTAGCTTCGTTTGTACCATAAACCATGAGTCACTTGCACCAGCTATTCATCCACTTGGCCAGTTCGTTGCACCAGTTTATAGCCAATCCTTAATATCCAAATCACTGATCAGCCACAACATTAAAAGCAACTTAATTCCATTTAATTGCATTTATATGCCACCAAATCACAGCAGTACTTATCTGAGTCTGCTTCAGGTTGTTTGGTAAATACTACAGTACTTGTGACTGAATCCCCAGCCCTCCAGTCTGAGAAGGTGCTTGGTTATGGTGTTGTCTCACTGATGCAGCGGGTCCACTTCAGGCCTCTTAAACAACTCTGAAGCATCGGGGTGGGGGTGGGGTCACAGGACCTCTGGGAGTGTCCTGTGGTGTTGTGGAATTGGATGTTGGGGGTAGGGCCTGCGTGGATCGGGCTCGCTCCCGAGCATGCAGCAGATGCTTGATCAAACTGGGACCCCGGGGAGTTCAAAAACACTTCAGGCTCTTTGTTGTGTTCACTGAGGCCTCCCTGAGCAGTTAACATGGCGCTGTGGGAACGCCGTGTGTGTGAGTTCTGGACTGTTGGGTTTGGAAAGCTGGAGAAAAGGCTGGAAACTGATGGTGTGCTATGGTGAGCATTGATATTCACTGGGACCAATTTAGCTGTTCTTCTAGCATGTACCTCACACCTCATCCCACACTGTTGGCAGACGAGTCCTCTTTACACTGGCTCCCCGTGAAGTTTAGGGTTCAGTGTCAGGTTCTGGCCATTTCAGAGCTCTTCATGTTCAGATGCCTTGAAGTGTCCACTGATCCCTGCTCAGAAGCAGCTCTGTAGGGGTCTGCACATTCCAGGAAGGTTCAGTAGTAACACTGAAGTAATAGCTGGCTGTGCTATAACACATTATTTCCCCCCTTGTCCTCACGCGGCGCAGTGTTGTGGAATCGGTCCAGCTTGGGCTGAGAATGTGGAACATGCCACCACTGGAAAGAATGAATCGGCTGTACGTCAGTCTCTGGCTCGAGCCGAGGCCTGCAGCGCTTCTTTAAAGAGCCCGATTCAAAGGAGTGAGAGTCTGCCGGGGCCTTCAGGAGCTGGCAGCAATCGGCTTTAAAATCACACGAATACGACACACACGCCCCCGCACTCCAAAACACTGAGGTCACATGTCCTCGTAAAGCCTCCTGCATTGGTTCAGCATGGCCGGCTTCAGCTCGAAGTCATGTGTGCAGAGCTAATGCTCCAAAGCTTTTAGAGTAAAAGAAAGCCGAAGGTGGAACAGTGAAACAGAGAACACTTTGATTTTAGTTTGAGCCCTCAGGTAAATGCTAATTATACGGAGCATTAAAGAGCTTTCACAACTTTCACACTTTCAAAATTCAAAACTGAGCGCTAAGTTTGGCGCCAGGTCTGAGCTGGTTGTGCTGACCTCGAGACCACGTGTCTGGGTTTTGTCCTCGGTTTTCTTCTACAGAATGAAACCGTTGAATGAGTCGGCGGTTTCAGACGTTTGAGTGGAGCCAGGATTGTTGCCGACCCGATCGAAGGTCAGTAGTTGGATGTTAATAATGCAGCGCGGCATTTCTCTGCGTCTCAGTCGTTGGACAGTCCCGTCGCCCTGATCCCGTTACCTCCTGCCTCCAAATAATTCATCGGGTCTGCAGCAACCGGTAGATGACACTCACCCTGCTGGAGCCATCATTTAAAAACATGAACATGAAAGAAAGAAACCCATGAACTCTGTCGAAGCTGCATCATGCATCAACAGCATCATGCACTGAGTTTTTAAAGCCCCTCTGTATAAATTAACTCAGTTTAAATACATTAAGCTGACAGTTTATTTCATCATAATAATAAATCTCTCTTTTCTTTTCTCTTAGACGTTTTTGGCTCCGGTGAGCCAAGTCTTCCCTGCAGAGGATGACGTCAACAAACATGTGGAGGATAACTGTGAGTACTTGTGCTTCATCGCTTCACCTACAGATCTGGCTCCTCCTTTTTTTAGATATTTGACATTAGACATTTGTCGTCCTCCTTAAGCTGCTGTTACTCTGGAAGTCTGGGATCAGCTGTTTCTGGTCCCCGGGCCTTATGTTTGACACCCCTGGTCTAAAGGCTTTTCTTGATGCACATCAAAAAGGAAATAAAGTTCCATATAGGAGTATTTTTATTGCAGGAATTTTACTTGCTGATCTGTAATTTGAGTTAAATTCAGCTTTAACACAGAGTTATAACAGGATGCACGTCAGCAAATGTTGGTCTGATATTTCTGAGTCTAAACAAAGCAGCAGTGATATTCATAAATTTATTAACGGACCAAGTCGTCTCTTTTTTCCTTCAGATTTTCCATCGTGGCTTTAAATAGATTTTATTTATGAGGCGTTCTTCCAGTCTTTTCCCGGGAATGCACCGGGCGCAGTGCCATCATGATGATGCCCACTCAGGACAGTCTCCTACTGTGTCACTATGCTTCTCCTCGCTTAAATAATGAGTTTTTTGCTTGTTTAAAGAGCTGCAGAGGGTAGGAAATCAGGTTGATTTTTAAAATAAAAGAACCTCTTGTAGGCTAAACACTTTTCTCCTAGTGTTGCAGAAGGTGAGGTTTGAGTACCCGTTATTGAAAGCTATTCGCACGTTAAAATGCAGCTTTTTTTTTATGCAGCCAGGTGTGCATCTACAGGGAGGGGATGGGGTGGCATTGGCCCTCCCTGAAGACCCTGTTGTTTATTAGTATCTACAGTCATTTAATTACTTTGCTGAAGTGCAGTTTTAATCACTTTATTGCAGTATTTTCATGTTATGCTGTCTGGGTTCCCTATGTGCCCCCGACTGATAAAACCCTGCACACTGCAGTTTTCCTCTCATATAATCTGCTGGTTTGCCGCCAGCTGTTGTTGTTGTTGATGATGTTGTTGTGTCTATAGCATCCTCACATTTCTCGAGTGGCACTGTTATTTGTTTTTTTTTTTCCTTTCTGTAAATTCAGCTGCTTTGAATAAACCTATGCTTGTTTCTGATTGGCTACATGCTGCTGAAGGTGGTTATCAGTCTGACTGATAACCATCTTCACGTGAGCTCTCGGCCCGATGGATGATGCGATGTGCAGCGTGGATCTGCTGCTCTGCTGAGTTTAGTAACATTTTGTCCTGCTTGTGTCTCTCAGGCTCTTTGATGTACCTGAATGAAGCCACGCTGCTCAACAACATCCGAGTGAGATACAGCAAAGACAAAATTTATGTAAGTACAGACATGAGGGGGAGCGGCCGGTCGGTGAAATACTGTGAAACAGAAACGGTTGTGAGGTCGTCCTCATCCTCGGCGTGCTGTATTCACTCCTGGACTCAATGGTGTTTTAAATGCACAGGACACACCTGAGGCTCAGCCTTCAGGTGAACTTGTGGCGCTGAAAATGAAAGAATAAACACCAAAAGGTCACAAAAGCAAAAAGAAAAACTCATAAAGGTTCGGGGTTCGTTTCCTCTGATCGTAAAAAGTCAAAATTTCACACCGAACCAAAATAATTCCGACCTCGGAAAGACAACGTCACACGTTATCATCACCCGATGAAGGAAATCAGCTGCCGTGTCAGCACAAAGAGTCGGTTGTGACCTGCCCGCACCACCTGTGGGCGATCCGCACGCTCAGTCATGTTTCCACACTCCACTGAAGCAGAGATCTACTCCACCCTCGCCTGAAACAAAGGCATCACATTTTCTTACTGGACAAACGTGTGCACTCCCAGTTCATGAAAAATAACATGTGTGCAGGTTACTGTGTAAATATACATGTAATGTACGGAGGACTGAAGCTGCCAAAATAAAACGTTTAATGAATGAATAGATTAAAAACAACTCATTAAATAAATCAGATCAAACTTTATTAGATTTTTTTTTTGCATCAACATGTGACAATTAATATTTCTGATTCGTTTGTAGTATTTGTTTTTTCTTGTTGCTCTTATTTTTTTCACTTATTCCTTAATTTTACTTTTTTGATTTTACATTTTTTTATTTTTTTAACTGAATTTTTGTTTTTTTATTTCTGATATTTTTTCTAGTTCCTGTTGATTTCTTTAGTAAATTTATTTTTAAATAACTTTATTTATATATGTATTTATTCATTTAATCAGTTTAAAGGTTTTTTATTTGCTTTTTTAAATTGTTGCAGTTATTTCTACATTTTCCTTTTTCTATTTTCTTTATTTTTTTCATTATTAGTCCGATTTTACTCACTAAAAATGAATTTTTGTTAGTTACTTTTTATTGCATTGCATTTTGTGTTGCCCTTGAAAACTCAATTTCACACTGATTGAATAACTGTTTTATTTTTTTATTATTATTATTTTTCCTTCATATGGATGTCTTCACTTCACGGGGTTCATGAATGATCTCGGCTCTTGTCACTTCAAAATGCCTTCAGTAATTATTCATGTCCATCCAGATAAAGAGGACCGCTGTCACGTGTTTGCTATTATTTAAATAATTATAATTTTGCTCAAGTCCTTAAGATGAAACATATGTGGGCCAAACAGAGTCTTCAGCTTACCAGCAAACCCTCAGCTGATGATTATTCCTCCACATGAGGCTCTGATAGGAGCAGCGGGGCTACACAGGGTGTCTTTTCACCCCGGGGGGCTTTTCGGCCGGCCTCACACCTTGAGCACCCAGCAGGGGCTCATGTGACCTCTGCTGCCTTTGCTATTTAGCTCCATTTTCCTGTGAAGCTTCCAACTGATGTCAGCTGGAGTCAGACTTGGTCCACACTGACACCTAGTGGCCGAGGAGGGAACTGCACTGTGAAGCTCACAGAGGGCATTTCTGATATAAATCAGGTTTTATTGATAAATGAGGATATTGTAAAGCTTTAGAAATCTCTGCAGCGATTATAAATGTTAATCTAAACCTCTCCAAAACTTTTGAAAACACAATATAATCATTGTAACCTCCATGAAGACTGGAAACACAATCCTCAATCACAATGTGATGCTCAGGAGTTTTATGAATTCTTGAAATTCTTGAGATGTGGCTGAATGCTCGTATTACTGGCTGATATGGAGTTTGGATCAGTACAGAAATTCAGATTTTCTGATCCTGATTCCGTTAAACTCTGACAGATTTTGGAGCCTCTCACTTTTTATAAGTGCTGAAAGAAAACGTTTGCTGCTCCTTCAGGAGGAGGCAGAGAAATTAGAGACTTTGTTGGTTTTATGAGCCAAATAAGTGATTTTTATTCCTCTTGTTCTTCTTTCAGACATTTGTAGCAAACATCCTGATCGCCGTCAACCCGTACTATGACATCCCGAAGCTTTACTCGCAGGAGACCATCAAGAAGTACCGGGGCCGGTCGCTGGGCACGCTGCCGCCGCACGTCTACGCCATTGGTGAGCAGCTCAGTTTATCACAACTTTTACATGCTGGACAGTATTTCCAGGAACTTGTCCCACATTTTTGTTCTGTGCTCGTGACTAAAGCTCAGTTTGAGCATTTTTGGTGTGTTTTCAGAAAGAGGGAAACCTTTCGTTTGCCGTGATTTAAAAACACAAACAAATCGTAAGCAGAAAGCCTCACATTAAAGGAGAGACAAGAAATATTCTGTTAGTTAGTGAAATCTACCTGTGGAGGGAACAAGGCATGATTCATCTCTACAGAGCTCATTTTAACCTGCTCGAGTTGAGCAAAGTTTGTTTACATATTCAGAAAGTTAAAGACCCCTGAGACGGTTTAGAGGTCAGTATCTTTATTTTAGACTTTTTAAGCAGTTTTTGGTCATGGATGCTTTAAAATGTCCTAATCCCTGTCATTTTTATAAGACTTATTTTAATGTTTCACAAATTGAACAAGATCATTAAAGTCATTAAGAAATTATCAGTTTAATCGTCCTCTAATAATTTAATACCAAAAGCAGTTCTTTTAGGGTGAAAGTTAATGTTGTAGTTCACAATTTGTTCACTAGGGGGCAGCCAGCACTCAGATTTCCCAGAGTCCCCTGAACATCACGGTACCAGACTGACTTATTGAAACCGCAGGGGTTTAATATCTGTTTGATTTTTGGGGTCAGCGTGGCGTCTGATCTAACTGCTGCCTCTGTCTTCAGCTGATAAGGCATACAGGGACATGAAGGTCCTGAAGATGAGCCAGTCCATCATCGTCTCCGGGGAGTCTGGAGCCGGCAAGACTGAAAACACCAAGTTTGTTCTCAGGTAAGGGAGGCGAGGGTCTCGTCTTTCAGCGAACGCGGCGACGACAAATCTGAGAAAATTATCCACGTTTTCATGTTTGTGTGATTATTGTAATGTGACCTGTACTCGGAGCTTATATACACAATCAGTTTTGATATCATCGATTTTCATTTGAGCTCATTTGTGATTTTAATTATCAGCTTGTTTTCATAATTAATCGATTGTTTTGTCCAGAAAAGGTCAGAAAATGGTTAAAAGGCCTGTTTTAGTTCATTTAAATGTCCTGTTTCATTTGACTCACTGACCCCAAATATTTTCTACTCAGAGTTATTCTGATAACTCAGAGTTTAAAATATTTTGCAGTTTTTCTTAAGAAATTACTTATTTGATTATTAAAAGTGGTATTTGATAAATGCTCACACAAAATCTGGACTTTGGACATGCTAAAAGCTGTGACATTACAGTGTTTAGACGATGTGAGCAGAAACGTTTACAGGCAGGTGAGAGCCGGTGATTCTAATAATGCTCTCCTCTGAAGCAGCTTTTCAGTAAGATGTCACGGTGTTATCCATGGTAAATGGTAAATGGCCTGTTTTTATATAGCGCTTTACTAGTCCCTAAGGACCCCAAAGCGCTTTACATATCCAGTCATCCAGCCATTCACACACACATTCACACACTGGTGATGGTAAGCTACATTGTAGCCACAGCCACCCTGGGGCGCACTGACAGAGGCGAGGCTGCCGGACACTGGTGCCACTGGGCCCTCTAACCACCACCAGTAGGGGTGAAGTGTCTTGCCCAAGGACACAACGAGCAAGACCGTCCAAGCTGGGGCTCGCACCGGCAACTTTCCGATTACAAGGTGAACTCCCAACTCTTGAGCCGCGATCGCTGGTGGGCGATTGAAGCCAGAAATGAGCCTATTTGGATGAAAGGGTTAGCAGAGATATCTGCTGAGTACCAAACTATTAAAGGTCCTCTCTGTAGACTTGTTGGATGGTCGGTACCACACAGGAAGTGATGTCATCGCTCAGATAACCGCAATAAAAATGCTCCAGTTCGGTGACTTCACTTAGCAGGCACGAGGTTTAAGCAGTGAGGTGTTAAAATATTCACCTGCAGTAACGTGGGAGTCTCACCGATGAAGCCAGCCTCTAGTGGACGTCTGAGGAACTGCAGGTTTGGGCTTTGTTTTGCCAGTTTTTCGCAGAAAGGAAGTGTTTCTGTGGAGGTCACAGGAAACTGTACTGTAGGTCATCTACTAATTGGAAGGCAAAAGTGTCCTCAGGGAGGGAACAGTGTGTTAATCAGAGCATGAATACATGTGAATAGGGGAGCGAGGCATGATGTATAAAGTGCTTTAAGTGCTCCAGTGGAAAAGCTCGATATAAGAGTGGTTTACCAGGAGCACTGCGGCAGCAGGGGGTGGTTCATTAAAGCCTTAAACCTGTGCAGTGACCCTCTGGTAAACCCAGAGTTTCTGCTTTTCTGATCACTTTAACCTAAATATTTAACACAGTTGTACTTCCTGCAGAGCGTCGTTCTTTGCTTTCACACAAACATCTGACAATCTACCAGATTTGTTTTGTTGAATACCAGAAATGGTCTTCTTCCTCCTTCTTACAGCATTTTCAACAGTATTAAAAATGAAATATGGTCCAACAAAAACAGTTTTTATTGAACAAACTTTAATGTTTACTTGCTTTAAAAAAACCTTCAAGGCTGTAAACCTGTGAGAACCTCTGCTTTAAAATGACAGACGAATCGCGTGTTCTCAGGTGTTGATGATGTGCTGTGCTTGCAGATACCTGACGACCTCGTACGGAACGGGTCAGGACATCGACGAGAGGATAGTCGAAGGTGAGGTCGCTTCTGCTTCTCTCATCAGCTTCCTGTTGAGGTTTGAGTTTGAACTCGACTTTTTTCTCCCTTGCAGCGAACCCTCTGCTCGAGGCCTTCGGGAACGCCAAAACTGTCCGGAACAACAATAGCAGTCGCTTTGGGAAGTTCGTGGAGATCCACTTCAACGAGAAGGTGCTCAGGGCCGTTCTCGCTCAGTCGATCACGAGCTTTAACGTCTGCTGATGAAAGTTATGAATTACAAATGAAGCCGCACTTATTCGGCACGATCTGTTTACGTTGATCTTTCTGCTTTTGTGAAGAGACGCGATTTGCCCTCTGCTGTCTCAGATGCTTACGCAGCATAAACTCAGTAATGAGGCCTCACTTATGATCATTTATCTCTTTTGTTTCGCTCTTGTTTATGTGTCCTATAAATCACCGTATTTCCATGTTACCCAAAGGCAGACTCTTCTTTGTGATTTCCAGCTTTATTATCTACATTTTTCTTCTTTAAACTATAATATGAGATAAATTCTTTATATTTAATATTTAATTTCCATTTAATTCACCATATAATTTATTATAATGACAAAGTGGCAGGATATGAAGATGAAACGCGCCGATAGATGCCATAAATGAGGTTTTTTTTGGTTTTTCCCCCGCTCTTCCTCCTCAGAACGCCGTCGTGGGCGGCTTCGTGTCGCACTACCTGCTGGAGAAGTCGAGGATCTGTCGGCAGAGCCCCGAGGAGAGGAACTACCACATCTTCTACCGGCTGTGTGCCGGAGCTCCCGAAGACATCCGGCAGAAGTTTCACCTCAGCTCTCCGGACACGTTCCGGGTACGGATATTAAGATTTTTATCATCCTGACGCTCGATAAGCCCAATCAGATGGGCGGGGGCTGATGGCTGATGAATGAATGGAGGAGGTGCAGATGATGGGTGGGGGCCTGATCGCAGACTTGATGGAAGGACTCTGTATTTTTCTTGTTTCTGTCAAACCAGCACTGAGTGTGTTCTTCTTCATCAAAGCCCAAACCCCACAAAAGTCCTTCATCACCACGAGCTGCCCAAAATCTTAATCCGCCACTGAAAATAGTCCTCAAAACACCAGAGTCTCCTGATGTTTAAGTCATGTTTGCTGCCAAAATAATCAAAATAAAGAAGAGAGGGATGAAGCCGGCATGACTTTCCAAGCCCACGGTTCAACTTCTGGATGCTGCTGTGTTATTTTATCACTTTATTTCTGTTTTTTTACTCTCAGCCAGTGCAGCAGTACAGTTAACTGTACAGCAGTAATATTATTGGTCAGATAGTTGCATTAAAAATGCTTTTTTACAATTTAAATTGGTTTAGTTATACAAAAAATTCCAGGAGAACTACTTTCTTTCTGCTTCCAGCATCGCACACCATTACTGTTTACGTCCTGCCAGGAGCACTCGAGCCTCTCGATGTTGCTCTTGCACGGTGATTTGGTTTGTGTTTGTAGTTTAGTTATTGCAGCTGAGGTTGAAGTGCCTCTACCTGCAGTTGTTAGGTTTGAATCAAAAACGGGTAACGGTAGAATTTTTTTGTTATTACATAATTCTGTCTGAAGCCTAAACTCCCTCCAACTCCATATTTGTGCTCTTGTGCTCTCTATATTTGTCCTCTGTCTGAAACAAGCCAATTTAGCTCCTCCCCCTTTAAGCCAGCTCTCTTCTGACTGGCTACTCTTCACGAAGAGAAGATGATCCCTTGTGATGTCATACAGATCCAAGGGTTGAAAAAACTATGTGGAACTGAGTGTTTGAAGCAGTTTGAAGGCTGAGCTTGTGGTTCATGCGTGTACATACACTGACCTCATGTGAAGCGTCGGCTGTGTGTGCTCAAAGTCTGCAGAGCCTGGTGTGGGTGTGACTCCTGGGTCGACTCTATGTTAGGAGGATTCCAAAAGATCTAAATAATGGTTTCAAAATCCAAGAAAGTCAGATGTCACACCCTTTAAACTAAGAAATTCAGCCTGCTTTTCCCCTGTTTGAACAGCAGGGGGCAGCTCATCCTCAGTAAAGCCCACCTGCTGCACATGCTCTGTTTATCAGCTGTCAGCGGTGGATGGAGAGCGGGGAGAGGCGGTGTCAGGTGCTCGTGTTTGCCATCAGGTTTGCCACCTGCAGCCACAAACGCAGACGTCCACAGTCCTGAGGTAACGGAGGCAAAAGCAGCCGTGATGGCTGTTAATGACGGTGATGAACTCGTGTTGATTTCTGTGCCGTCAACGCTCTAACATGTAATCTGTGACAGAGCTGAGAGGTTAGATGGGAACGTGTGGCTTCTGAGTGCCTAGCAACCGGATTTTAGGGAAAACAACAACATCACAGATACACAAGAATCATGACAGCAAACTAAAGTTAAAAAGCAAACAGACTGAGAGATGATGGTTTTGCTTTCTTTTGGTTCACCTGAGAAGAGCTGACTCATCCTCATACTCACATCTTCTGGAGGAGAAGAAGAAAACCTGAGGTCACTTTCTTTGTTCAGGGTCGTTTCTTTTATTGGCAGCTTCTAAATTCAATCATCTACTCTCACCTCCGACGTTTGCTGTACGGCACCCGCCCCTGTCCCCCTGCAACTTATTACACCACCTGCATCTTCTGATGGTTCATGCATCTGCACTTTCCCCCGATGATGCGGAGGGAGAAAAATGCTCACACGGTTTGAGCTGTGATGAACTCCTGAAGTTCAGCTTTTGTGCATCACAGGAGGAGCTGAGGTGTGTTCAGGTCCACGAAGGCTTGTTTAAAGGGTCAAAGTGCTGATGACTCCAAAGAGAGCAAGAAGGTGTTTTCATCATCAAATACTGAAGAGGACATGAAGTGCAATTTTTCTAAGGAGGGAAGAGAACATGAAGCAAAAAGGTAAAGGAAGAAAAACGGTGAATAAAGAAGGAAGCAATATGGGAAGATGCTGTTTCAGGAGGAAAGGCGGGAAGGAAGGAAAAAGGAGGAAAGTAAAAAGACAGAAGAATTTCATTTTTTTAGAAGAAGTGGAAGAGGGGATAGAGGTTGAGGAAAGATGATAAAGAAGGAAAGAAATGGGAAGAAAGCTATAAGGAAGGACAGAAGGAAACAGATAAGATGAAGGAAGCAAGATGCAAACAAATGCAAGGGTGGAAAGAAGGAAATAGAAATAGAAGCGGTAACCAGCGAGGCTGGATTAAGGAAATAAGGAGTCAAAGGAAGAAAGAGGGAAAGACAGAAAATGGAAATTAAGGAAGTAGACAACACAAGGCTGAAGGAGGGAAGGAAAGAAGACAGAAATGGAGGGTAGAAAGGTGAAAAGAAAGGACATAACGAACCACATAAATATAAGAGAAAAATAAAGGAGGTAATAAAGGAAATAAGTCAATACTCAAGTAAATAAATATAAATAGGGAAATGGAGGAAGAAAGTAAGGAAACAGAAAAAAGGTGGTAGTAGTAGTTAGGACTGAAAGAAGGTGACAAAAGAAACAGAAGTAGTAAAGAAGGATGGATGAAAAGGACATGAGGAAGAGAATAAAGAAGAATAGATGAGTGTGAAAAGAAGACATACAGGACAGGAGGCAGAGAGGGTGGAAGTAACTGAGGAAGCATCAGAAGGAGGATAGAAGCCAGGAAACAAAGGAATAAGGAGGGCTGGAAAAGAGAAGGACAGAAGGATACATGAAGTCCCAGAAATCTTGAGAAAAAGTACTCAAGTATTTACTGCAGTAAAGGGGCCGAGGTGCATTTCACCTCGGCGGGGTGACTCTGAGGTTTTTCAGGAGGAAAACGAGACGCTCCCATCGGCGGTCTGCCGGGGAAATGGAGGACACTCGGTCCTCCCGGTGGCTTCGGCTCTAATGAAAGTTTTTGTTTATGTTCATCTTCTCGGCGAGAGAAGGGCTCGCCTCTGCAAACAACATAAGCCCTGGCTCGAACCAGCCTCCCCCTCTTCCAAAAACACCTGGGAGGTGAGCACCAGAGACACTGTCATCTCGTGTCTGTGAAGAGAGGAGGAGGATGTCAGCAGAGCAAAGCTGCTTTTAATGCAAATGCAATTATCCAGGTGAACTCTGACCGTCTCTGAAGCAAAGCGTTTCCTGCACACAAACTCTGAGAGCACAGCGTTCCCATTTGACTGATGATTTAAGCCGTAAAACAAAGCGCTTCCATACATGGAGGCGCGAGGCCGCCTGTCAAACATTCGAGTCGGAAAATGACATTAGTGCAAAAACGCCAGTTTCTGCTGCTTCATTTCTAGTTATTGTTGCTATGTTTTAACTTTGACAACAGGACATTTAGCTGGATTTGTTTCATTTCTGCTCATTTTTTACCTTTTGAAACTGCATCTTGAAGTGTTTTAGATATACAACTTCACAGGACGAGCCTAAACCTAAACTCCACTCTGAGATAAATATACGAATAAAGTTGTTTAAGAAAAATGCTGATAATAGTAAGTGACTCATATAAGACTACAGAAAATCACATTTTCTATTGAAAATATTATTTTTCCCTTAGGTATACTAGTCTGAAGCTTGTGCAGTCCTCCTTACTGTAATCAGTTATTAAAATGTATTTCCATGGCTCTGATTTTGCATATTTATAATAACACAGTGATGATAATTTTATTTCAGTTGTACTTTTCATGCAAGTGCTTTCCAGAGCAGGGAGTACCAATAAAAATACATACATTTAAAAAGAATGGATAAATAATCAAAATGAGTTAGTTTTTTTTCCAGGATTTATAAAAGCTATGACAACGAACTAAATACTAAGTTAAAAACAGCAAACCAGAGATAAAAAAATCAAAGCTGCTGTCAGTCCAGGGGTCTGAGGATAAACCGCCTTTAATGTCTGATAGTTTTGGATCTTTATCTTTTCTTTGTAGTTTTCAGGACTCTGGACTCCAAAGACCACCTCTGTCTGCCGAGTGCGATTCAAAAACCTTTTTTGTTCTTTGAAGCTGACAAACTGCGTGATAGTTACATTTATGAAGTCGAGACCGGAACAATCGAAGAAGCTAAAAGACCCAACTTAGCAGATCTTTCCCCCCATGGTGGTCTGAGGAAGAAGTTCAGGGCATTTCTGCTGGAATGAAATCACGGTGGATTAATCTTATGAGTCTTTTTTTTTTTTTTTTTTTTTTTTTAATTTATTTTTATGTTTTTAATGGCAGACTTGCACAAGAACAGCTGAAGGTTAACTGCACCGGCTTGTATAATGTCGGGTGATTTCTGATGTGCTCTTTCTTTTTAATCTGCCTTTGAAACTTTGGTTTTGCTCATCTTTCCTCTCTCTTGTGTCTCATTGCTTTGCAGTACCTGAACAGAGGATGCACTCGGTTCTTCGCTACCAAAGACACAGACAAGCACATCATGCAGAATCGGAAGAGCCCAGAGGTATAGTATGCAGAAAAGTCTCTGAGTTCAACCAGTTTATGAAACCTGGACCACAGAATAAGCAGAAAAACACAGTTTCACTGAAATGTGAGGCTGATATTACGATATTACAGCAATAAAGCAACATACTGATCATTCCAGTTGTATATTTTATTGTTGAACTCTGAATCATGCAAAGCTGCTCTAACAGAGTTCAGAATAATTCTTATATTCATGATTCTGGGACCTGTGCAGCTTCTCAAATCATCCTGTATCTGAAAAGAGGTGTTTTAGCCCCTCCTCCTTTAAGTAAACTGTATTCTGATTGGCTGCTACTCATAAACACTGAGTTTGGACAGCAGGTGGGTGGGGATTCTTGCCAGAGGTGATCATATCTGGGATATCCACACTCTGTGACATCATAGAGAGCAGAGAGTAGGAAAAAACTGCGAGTTTAGATAGATCAGATACAGATCTGATGAGGTGATTTGGTTTCCACAAATAAGTTTAGTTGCTAAATTGAGTTTTTGAGCTGCAAATTTTCCCTTTTTTCTTTTCTTTAAACAGCAGAGAGGACTTTTTGTCCTCTTGTAGCTGCAGTAAATTTGTGTCCCCCAATAATTCCATTTCTTAGAAAGGAAACTCTAAAAACTAAGAAGAAAAACGTCGACTCATGCCCCTGTGGGCTGGAAGAAGGGAAACGGTCGCTTTGCAAACTCCATTAGCTCCTTGTTAAACCCGACTCAGCAGATTCGTTCACGTCGTTACGCCCTCCAGCTCCGCTTTTCTTCTCACAGTCGTTGTGTGAGCGAGCCTCTCTTATCTCTCCGATCACTCTGTCTGTTTGTCCAGTGGGAGCTTTTCAGAAAAGAATAAAAGAACTAAGAAGTTGGCTTTAACTTATTTGTCAATGTGTGAAATAGTCTTTTTTTTTTTTGTTTGTTTTTATGGGGGAAAAGAAGAAGAAACCTGCCTGTGAAGCACGTGTGTGTCTTCACTGATAATTACAGACTTTTCATGAGAAACGTGTGTGATGTTTTTCATCTGCACAGAAAACCAACATGTGAAAGACTGAAAAATGAAAGAATTTATCCTGCACACGAATAAAAGTCCAAATTCTGATTCAGCCAGTACAATGCTTTTACACGCCCAGCTTTGGTTTGTATGTCTGTTAAATTATTTCATTTAAATGATCTTTTTCTAAATTTGTTTGATGATCTGAAACATTTATTTGTTACAAATATGCACAAAAATAAGAAATCATGAAGTACATGAGTACAACTTCACCATCATGACAGCGAACATCTGGAAGCAGCTGTTTCACTTCATGGCTGTAACAGCTGTAGCTGGAAGAAGCTTTCAGTTAAAATAGAAATTGAAGGAAGGAGAGTCACAAAAATCAGGTTTCAGCTTCTTAGATTTTCTTCAAAAACATATATCTGTGTTAAAAATTTAGAAACAAAAAAAAAAATCACGTAAACAACCAGCACAAAAATGGACTCTGTAAGCTGCTGGGAGCAGAGAGATTCTGGTCCATGCTGACGTGACAGCTTCACAGACTGCACAGAACATCTGTGATGAGAATCAGAGGCGCTCTGTTAGATTTAACTGTGGACTCAGGCAGGCTGTGGGGTTTAGATGGTGCTCGGATGATACAAGGCAGGATGGATCCAAATTCTGTTGAGTCTGTGTGAACTTTATATCAGTTTCCTGTTTTTTGGCTTGCAAGACGGGCACCTGGTGTGGTCTTCTGCTGCTGTAGCCCATTCAGAGATGCTCATCTGCATACCTTCACTGAAATGAGTGTTTAACCCTGTCAGGTCAAAGCAGTCTGGCCATCACTCTCCTGTGACATGTGACTGGATATTTTCTCCCTTGTGTGGGAAACTCCCAGCAGATCAGCAGCTTCTGAAACACTCGGACCAGCCTCAATCCAATCTCATCGACTTATTAGTTATAATATTTAATGAGCAGGTGTGTCTAATAAACTGGCCTGCAAGTGTATACGGTTAAATAATAGGCCCATAAGGCGATAAGAACGGCATTGGGAATCTTAGAACTAATTGAAAGTTTGAATCTGAGGTTGTTCGTTAACACACTGGTCCATCTGTGCTACCTAAAGCCTCAGAGATGGAAATAAACGGACAGTAAAGCTTTGATTATATGCATTTCGTTACGAGGCAGCAGATAATCCTAACAGCAGCCACCCTGTGATAATTCATTAGTGCTGTTGTGTAATGTTCTCGCCTGAAATTGCTCGCTGCAAACCGGCTCTGCTTATATAATCTCCTTGTTTTCAGATGCTTCATATATAAACAGCAAACATTTTAATTAGCAGCCAGACCGAGAGCCTCGGTGCAGCGCGGGACATTTAACGCTGTGCATTAATAAGAGAAGCTCATCATGTGAAATGAGCTCCTTTCTTTGCCTATGGCTTTTGATTAATTATGCACAAGTGTTCTATTACGGCGTCTGTACACGGCTTCCTCTGCAGTGCGTCGGTATTAATTATTGCAGCCATTAACAGGAGCACGGACGGTACATCGGAGCGCTGCTGAAGATGGCGGATGGAAAGAGGAAGAATCCAGTCGCATACATCCATCACTGGTGGTTAAGACCATTGTCGTTTTAGTCTTTCATCTTCATCTCACCGAAGATTTAAACTGTACAGGTCTCTCGGTGAAGAGCAAGAATAGTTCAAGGTCTTACAGAACAGTTTATGTAAGGTCTTTATGTGAGGTGGATCCGGTACAGTCTCTAAAACAAGTCTACCAACACTGTCCTCTATGATGATATATGCACAGCCATCCGTCCATCCATCCAGCAACAGTCTAAGACCTCCCTCACCCCGGCCACCTGTTCCAGCAACTTGCCCCCCTGTTGTTCCAGAGAAATATAATCTCTCCAGAGAGTCCTGGGTCTGTCCCAGCACCTCCTCCCGATAGAACCTCCCCGAAACGCCTCAACTGGAGGCTCCAGAGGTGGCATTGTAGGAGTTTAATGCTTTGTGGACTGGGTTGGAGGTCCTGGTGCTGCTTTTAAATCTGGTTATATGCACATTCAGTCTACCTTCAGTTTTATTCACGTAGCAGACCTTTATCTGGCTCAATGAACTGTGACTCAGTTCAGAGTCACAGTCGTCTTTGCTTTGTAGATGTTTTATAGAACCCCAAGAATCAGATGATTCTGTGTGAGCAGCATTTGGCAGGAAGAAACCTTCTGTAGAACCAGACTCGGGGACGGGAAGCCATCCGTGACTGACAAAAGAAAGTTTATAGATGCCGTGCATCATGGGAAGTCCCAAAGCAGTGTTATCATACAGCACGTTCTTATTCCTCAAAGTGTCCAAAATTCCAAACAGCAAACCAGTAAAACAACAATAAACACAAAAAACAACTCTAATATTACATTCCAGTGACATCAGGGTTTCTCTTCAGAATAAAAACATGCAGAAGGAGAAAGAAGCTGTCTGATTTTTCGACAGATCTGCTCCTCGTCCTTTAAGTCAGCGCAAGGGTGAAATAGATCGGGTGTCAAACTGTGGACTCGCAGAATTAAACTGTTTTTGGCAGAATGAAAAAAACAGATTGTTGGACAACGGTCCTTTTGTTGTAGCCCGGGAAACACAATTATCTGGCAGCATCGGAGTGGGAGGCTTGTTTAATAGAAAGGAGGCACACAAAGGAAGAAAATTGTCCTGGGAAATGATCTTCGGAAAGTTTGTTTTTTGCGTGTCCTCTTGCTTTATTTCATGACTTCCTCAGAGACCCAAGTAAAGAAGTATTTGCAGACAATCTCCAGCTTTTGTGCCTTAACTTGAGCTCTGGGAGGGAGGGAGTGCGGCAGGGCAGCTCAGGTAATATCTGATAAAATCCCGGATCACAGAGGAATATCCCGCATTAACTGTGAGGCGGCCTCGGAGATCAAACGTTAGGGAAACTCGAGCTTCGCCCCTCCCGCCCGGTCCTTCGGGTTCACGAAGACAAATTGTGAGTGGGATCAGTCCCAGATTAGCTCGAGTGTAGCTGCTGTAATCTCTGATAAATGATGTGCTGTATGTCTCCTCGCTGCTCCGGCTCGTGTCACGCAGGACGACCAGGTGATTGGCTGTTTCTCCTCTCGCTTCTGACTTTCCGAGCATGCTTTCAGCTCTGCAGTGCTTTCTGCTCCTTCCTGCTTTGTAGAAAATAATCGAGCCTTTCAGTCAACCTGTGTCTGCTTTTCTGCATCTGGGAATGTCACAGTGCAGTCGGCCTGTCTCAGAAATGGGAGCTTTGCTGGTCCAGCCCATCGAAGATCCAAGTGGACCGTATGTGGCTGTCTAAAGGAATTACTTATCTTAGCTAAACGGCTGCCTGAAGCTGTCCTGTGCCTAGATTTGACTCCACTGTGGAGTTTATTCTAGATGCGACAATATTTATGTCACTTCCACCCAAAACTGCAATATTAACTAACACTTAACTTTATTTTGATTTATATCCTAAGTTTGGATTTGACTCTGCACTGAAATAAGCGCAATGGTGGCTGACAACAAACCACAAGTGCCATGTTTTCTTCATTGCAGTGAATTACTCCTGTTTCATAATATCAAATCTGCGTAATTATACAAACTGGGGTAAATAAATACCAGAACAATAATTTATTAATAATAATTTGTTACATTGTAACACATTAATGTTGCGGCTGCAGATGATTTTAGTCAGGCTGTTTCAAAACAGGACCACATATTCACAAATGCACATTTTAAATAGAGCACAGAGTGTAGTGTTTTCATCCTTAATGCAGTGGAGTAGAAGCAGAAAGCAGTACAAGTACTCAGTTACCTTCCATAACCTGTCCTGTGCGAGCACCAGCCCATTAGTGTTTGCCGGGAGGCTGCTGGGCTCTGGCCTCGTGCAGGTTTCAGCTTCTGTGTTGCTAAAGTTTTTCTTCAGATGATTTTCAGGCGTCTGAGTGAAATTTATTCACATTTTTGTCTCATAACCAAAACTCCTAATGCTCCTAATGCTTCTAATGTGTAAATAAATACCGGTTAAACTGACTGATGTTTGCAGAAATGCTCCCTTCTGGCTGTTGATTCGACTGCTTGAGCTTTAGTGGCGGGGGGAAGGGAGAGAAAAATCTGGAGAGAACCTGATTAAATGGAAGAACCGGCTAAGCAAAATAATTCGTTTTCCACTTAATCCACTATCACAAGGGACACGCGTGCGCTGGCGTCTATAGTTTAGCCCGTGGTTATCGTTACACTGCGGCATTCCTGAGTGGGTTTTTCAGGTGTGTGTGTGTTTTTCTTCCTTCTTCTCTCTGCTGAAGATTGTGCTTCTTCTTTCGCTGCCTGCTCTGCTTTGTGCAACACGATCAGTGATAAACAGGGTGATTGCTGCACTCCGCAGAGTGAAAGCATTCGGCTCGAGATTAAGTTAGAATGATTTGGAGATTCAGATTTCTCCAAAGTGAAGGAAGAGAAGAGAGCAGGTAGGCAGAAAGGTAAAAATGACAAGCGGTAAAGAAATGAAGTTAGAAGTGAGTTGTGTAAGAAAGGACATGAGAATAAAAATATGAAGGAGATGGAGATGAACGAAGATTTTTAAATGTCGGTGACGTTTTCTCTCCTGGTTCCTCAGCACACAAAGTCGGGCCCGTTGAAGGACCCGCTGCTGGACGACCACGGCGACTTTGCCAGGATGTGCGTAGCCATGAAGAAGATCGGCCTGGACGACACAGAGAAGCTGGATCTGTTCAGGGTGGTGGCCGGCGTGCTGCACCTCGGCAACATCGACTTCGAGGAGGCCGGAAGCACATCAGGTGAGAACAAGAAGTCACACATGTGAACCTGTTTTTGGACTTGGAGAAGACGTTTCACGTCCTTTGTGTTCTTTGGGTTTGTGGGGCATCGCTCCTGTTGTCACGGGGTGTTCGGTCCGTTTACAACCTCAGACAGAGTTTTGGTCAGACTCAGTCAGAGTGTAGTCGATCGTATTGGGGGAAACTTGGTTCATTATTTTGCAGAGTTTTTGAATCTGCTGATTGGTAGATGACTACTTGGTCCGGAAGCTTCTTGGAGATGATGTGATTCTGTTGACAACCTGCAGTTTGGTGCCCAGAGTGAAGTCACCGGGTTGTGAATTGGCACCTGTAAGTTCAAGGCTGTGTCTTATTCCGGGCTGGGAATGAGTCGCTGCTCCGATTGGAGGAGTTTGGTGTCCCGACTCGTGCTCAGCAGTGAGTGAAGAAGGAGCAGGAGGCTCACTAATGCAACGTACACGTTAGATGTAGATCAAGGCTGTTGATCTACATTCCCACCATCACCTTCAGCCACGAGCTGTCGGTAATGACTGAAAGAATGAGATTGTGGAGGGAAGAGTGTGAGTGGGCTGTGCCTCAGAGATGGAGTGAGGAGATCGGCCATCCAGGACAAGCTCGGAGCAGAGCCGCTGCTCCTCAACAACAAAAAGGAGCTGGTTCAGATGCTTTATGAGTCTGCTCAGGACGCCTCCTAGCTGAGGTGTTATGGGCCACTGGGAGGGGACCATGAGGCAAAACAGGGACTTTTTGGAGAGTTTACGAGATTCAGCTGGCCCGGGAACGCTCTGCTCACGCTGCCACCCGGCTAAGTGTGATGGATGGATCAGAAAAATCCCACACCGAACATTTAAAACAGAAAAACGTGAAATTCATTAACAGCGTCGTGAAGATAATAAACCCTTAAACTTTCTCAGAACCTCGATCAAACTTTTTTTTTCTGCATCCCAGGTTGGTTGATGTGTCGCTGCCATTTTGACTTCCTCAATTTGTCATTCAAATGTCAGATTTCACACGGAGATGACTCCAATCAAACACAAATAGCACAAGGCCAAACAGGTCGTTCTCTTCGACTTTAAAAATGCAAAGACGTCACGTCGAAGCATTCACTGAAAGACGGGAGGGAAACGCAGCTGTAGTTGATGTGGGGATGGATGTCAGGTTTACCTGCATGATCACGCTGCATTAAAATCACAGTCCTGAACAGGAAGGCATTTTAAAAAAGTGCCTTTGTGTGTGTTGGTGCTGCTAAAGCCCGTAACGCCGTCTGACCTGAAATTTAGCTAATGTGAATAAAGTTCTGCACCGAAATGTTATTTAATTAAACTTCCTGTGCTTGTGGTTTACATATCCAACCCCGTCCATCAGTCTGTCTGACAGAGAGCACCGATGGAGCGATTAGTTGTGCACATTTTCCAGAGTTTGGAGCTTCCTGTTTGCACCTTCACTTCCACTCACTGATTACGTTTTAGCACTAAAGCCTACTTTAAGAACCCTTCTCGATCACTCTCCACGGTCATAAGTGAGCCACAAGCCCAGCTTTGATGAAGCTGTGCTGATTGATGCCCCAGAAAGGAGAAAAGGGTGGCGTAATCCATAATCCACAAACCTTTTGTGTGGCTCTGCTGTTTGTTTATTAACCAGCTGGTTATTAAGTCTGCTAACAGAATAATAAGAAATTAAAACTACACCAAAAGATTGATCCCAGCAGATCAGGACGGATCAGGACGTGAAGCACTGTAACTCGACGGAGTGCGACGTGGCTGGTCGTGAGCTCTAACTGATGAGGTGGGCGTTCTCCGAGCGGAGCCCTGCGGCGCTCCGTGATTGCATTTGCTCTGTATCAGAAGTCATCCATCTCTCGGGCTTCCCAGCTCCTAAACGGCACCGGTTTGGCTCCTGAGAGGCCGACGCCTCTTTGATCTCATCCCTCAAAGCTCTGTGCTGTGATTGATTGCTGTAATATTCAGCCTCGATCTCCCTCCGTCTCACTTCAGCCTCGTTGCGATGGCTGATAGATGTCGCGGGTCTGACAGCGGCGTCACGGAAAGACGTTTTCTTCTTGTTGCACTTTGTTTTTTTTCGCAGATGAAAAACACTCAGAACACTAATGACTAATCTCGAGTTATTTTTCTCTGGCTGAGGGGAAATTCATTAATTACACAGCCAACAAACTAATTCTGTAATTATTCCAGTGAATATTTCAGGGATTATGCTCTCTGCACTCGCAGAGGCATTTTTCTGTGCCTCGTTTTTCCACAACGGTTCAGACTCGAACCCTCAGGGAGGCTCAGTTTCCATGAAAATCAGCTGATCCTTTGAACTTCAACTCGGTCTTGAAGTTCCTCCCCGTCGTTTTCTCCCTGCGCCGGAAAGAAGAGGAAGCGCAGCAGGGAGCCTATTAAACGGACTGGTTCTCACAGCAGGGGGCTCACTTGGCACATGTTTTACAGTAAACGAGGACAGAGCGTTCAGGCCGAGGAGCCAATCAGGCAGGGCTATTGAGACGGGCTTGGCTTGCACTTGCAGAGCGGTCCCTCGGGGAGCTTTTAAAGAATATTTACTTATCTTAGACCCAGAAAGCATGTAGAAGTCAAGTTCATTTAAACAGCTATTCCTAATGCCGCCGTTCACACAGGAGGATTTCATTTATGAGTTTTCCAGTGCGATCTGACCAATCGGACCGCAGCATTTGGCAATGAGTGCGCTCGTAGCTGAAAGCACGCATCAGCACTGAATATAGGATGATATGGAAACAGTCAAATAACTTCGACTGCATCTCTCAGCCTGTTTGTGGTTTTCAGGTTCTTTGATCACATGACAAAAGAGAGCGAGAGGGCGGTCTCATTAAAACGTTTCCATCAAGGATGAGTGGTGTAGAGCGGGGACGTTCTAATGAGGTCCAACCTTTAGCCAACAGATTAATTAGCGGATTCATCTCTGCTGTTTGGCTGTAATAAGTCCACTCAGACGACGGTGCTCTGAACGGCAGGATGGAGTCTCTTCAAAAGGTCAAACTGCTCTGAATGTTCTCATTTCAGCTCGTTGTTAAAGTCTTCCCATGAATCTCCTTTTGCGCTGGTGTCAACGCTCGCTTCTTCTCTGGACTCGATTCATTTCAGAGTAAACTGAGAAATCTATCCAGAGAGGCTGGAAATAATGGTCCTTAATTAACTGGGATTCATGTCCAAGTGTTCGTCTTCTGTTCTGATTTGTGGTTTGAGCGCTCGCCTCTGCGAGGCCTCCTTTCACCCTCCAGTTATCGATTAGGTATTAGCTTAGCTTAGCTTTCAGGGGCTATCGATTCCTGGCATTGATCGGAGGAGCAGCTGTAATGATGTGAAGCCGTGTCACGGGGGTTCACGGCTGCTCTAATCCAATCTTTGATGTGAACGGCTTCCGTCAGCAGCCTCAGCCCTGAACACCATCGGACCGCCTTTCATGTGAGAAACCAACTTGTCACTTCCTGTGGCCTTCATACGTAAAAGCCTGCGTCATATACGGCCTTCATCTTATAGTTGGATTCACTTGTCATGCGAGTGCTCGCTGTCAGGTAAGTGTGGGGGGTTTAGCAGGTTGCTACATTCATATTTTACATCCACGTAATCCTTTGGTGGGTCGGATCAGCTGCTGCCGCCATCGGCACAGAGCGGTATAGAAACAGCTTTTCTCCTTTTTCTCCTGCTCACAGTGAGTTAGGAAAAGATGAATCTTCATTGATCCAGCAGGGGAAACATGACCTTTTTAAATTGAAAATTTCAATAAATAACCCTACCCCTGACCCTAGATGGGAAGAAGTGTGGCATGGCTCCATAGTGGGGCTATTAAAGTGTAAAAATATAAAGGAAGTCTTGTGAGGTGTTCAAATATCAAAGTGAAAGGAAATGAGGAACATGTTCACAAAGACTTGCAGATGCATATAGATTTCGCCCCACCAGCATTTTTCCCATTTTCTGTAACCGCTGATCTACGTCGTGCCTTAAAGTGACCTCACAGCCGACGACACACCCGCTCTCTGGTGGAGTTTCACTTGTTGTGCATCTCACAGTTTTTATAAAGCGGCACACGGTCGAGTTTAAGAAGCACACGTGTGATTGTTCACTGCTTTATCAGTGATGTATGAGTACAGGAGTTCGGAGATTCTCTGATTACACACAGGAAGATGTAAAGATGAGACTTGTGGATGTTCTCCTCTGGTGGTCAGCAAGGCATGGTGACGTCACAGTTGGCATGCAGCGACCAATGCGCTGACCATAAATCAGACCAAGAGTTTTGGTTTTAAAACCTGTGAAAATGTGGGTTGGTTCTGAAAAGACACCAGGTTAGAACTCCGTGTGGACCGCTGTAGTAATCATGCTCCAGGCTGTAAAAGCCAACCAGAAGATGTTTCTCTTAAGAGCACTCAAAACTTACATTGCTGTCAAACAAAGGCAACAAACATTTCTTGAAGCGCCACTTTGATTTCTGGGTTTCCGGGTCAGGAATGTGTAGCTATTGTGCAATGCATTCCTCGGGTTGGATTCAATAAAAGTCTATAAGAAAACAGCCCTACATTCCTGGCTGCTCAGGCAAGATACTGAAACGCGAGTTGCTCCTGACGTGCTGATGGGAGTGTGTGAGAATATTAGATAAATAAGTGTGTGTGTGTGTGTGTATGTATATTCAGTACGAGTTTTGCCCTTTTCTTCGTCTTGCAGGCGGCTGCGCCATCAAGAACCAGTCGAGTCAGACGCTGGAGCACTGCGCTGAGCTGCTTGGCCTGGAGGAGGAGGACCTGCGGGTCAGTCTCACCAGCAGAGTCATGCTCACGACAGCAGGGGGCGCCAAAGGAACGGTGATCAAGTAAGAAGCTTCTGTCACTCACACAGACGCACACAGACAGTCAGACAGCTGTGTTCACATCAGAGGACCTTTCACTGATTTATGTGCTACCCATGATCACTGCATTACTAACAACAGTTTATTACAATGATGATGTCACGGGGACCAGAGGAGGTCAGGTCACCACCAGAACGACAGACACACACACACACACACACACACACACACACACACACACACACACACACACACACACACACACACACACACACACACACACACAC